AAGACAGAGCCCTGGGGAACACCTGTAAATATATCAAGTTTTGACGATAACAAATCCTTATACATAACTCTTTGTGACCTATGACTTAAATAACTAGAGAACCACTGAAGGAGATCACCAGATATACCATAAAGTTTGTAATTTAAAAATAAGACCTTTGTGCCACACCCTGTCAAAATCTTTTGAAAGATCACAAAAAACCATACAACATGATTTACCTTCATCAATGTTTTGTACAATGTTATGATAGGTTTCTAGTAATTGGTACACAGTAGAATGCAAGTAATTGGTACACAGTAGAATGACCGGGTAGAAAACCGGCTTGATATCGATAAAACAGATTATTGCTATGGAAATAATTGTACACATGTTTAAAAATAATTCTTTCCATAATTTTACTAACACAAGATAATAGCGACACAGGTCTATAATTAGACACCAAAGAGGGATCATCCTTTTTAAAAAGAGGGATAACATGAGCTATAACACGTGTAGAATAATTTAAAATGGTAGATTTTAATTGTATAGAACTCACACAAAAATACTAAATGAAGTGATTAACTAGATTAGGTTTTCAATTTTTACTCCTACAAGTAAGAGCCTCTGTTAACGTCCCTACTCTCCTTATATACGGAACTACTAACCAAAAAAAAAAAATGACTGAAAAAAACTATTTATGTTTATTAGGAGAAATTACGTTGCTGTCTTTTCTCCTTGAATTATCTTCCTTATTTCTTTTCATTTCGACGTGATGTAGCATTGTACGTGTACCTCTAACTACTGTATATATGTTTGTATGTTATTAATTTTGTAACTTATGTACTTTGGTTTGAATGAATAAAAGGGAGAGTCTGAAAACACCCCCCCCCCCCCAAAAAAAAAAATCAACATTAAATTCTTTTTAAAAATTAAAGATTAGTTTACATATCATCAGGGAATTTTTTAAGTCTGATTTTTTATTTATTTTCTTATTTTTTTAGGAAGGTAATATGGTAACATTCTTTACTTACCTACCAAAAGTTACCTTTATTAAAATTTTGATTAACTTAATTATTGGAGCGTCTGATGAATTTGATTTACTGTGTACCCAGTCACGCATTTTACATATACACATAGTAATCATTGGGCTGTAAATATTTCACCTATAGTAATCTGTGAAAATAAAAAAGCAATATATCAAATGTTTTCAATAATATTGCTTCGTCAACTGCTGGTCAACGGAAAAAAGTTTAACTTTCGCGACGTAGCTATTTTACCTTTCTTGTAAGCGAAAGTCTAGTGCAGATTCTTTTTTAAAGTCTTTTTATGCCGAAATGAAAAGAAAAAAAAAACGTGTTTTCCTTAACTAGTCAGTTTAAAAACCCTGGAAAACATCAGATACTTCGGACAAGTTCTTTTAATGCGGTATGTTATCTTATCTTGTAAAGTGATAGACATAACCTGTAGATTACGTCAACATAAACGTCATAATGGGGCAAATGACGTAATATTAAACAGAATGAAAGGAAAAAATATTTTCATAATGATGCTTTTTAGGTTTATTACTAAAATCAGAACTACTTTTCAAACTAAAAAAAAACAAACAAAAAAAACAACAAGTACCTGTTCATTTCTTGTCAAAATCGTTTGTAAATCGAGTGTAAAATCGTATCGTGTGACCACCCCACCAATCGACTCCAATCGACTTACCTGAGCAAGTCGAATGAAAATCGAATGAAAAATCGCATCGTGTGACCGCACCTTTAGACAATATAGGATTAAACGTTCTTTTTGAAAAGGATGACTGCACTTAAGGACATGCGGAATTTGCGACAAAATAAACTTTCAAAACAAGCATTTTTCTTTTCATTGCAAGAATGGTCAACATCCAATCTACAACTTTATGTAATTACGTTTAATAAAAGTGTGTATTTACGAAGTTTGAATCTGTTTTCAAAGGCAGGGGTCATCAAAATTTCTTGAATCTCCGTTCGATAATGAGGACGCCCACTTTTTTACTGACTTTATACATAGTCAGCGCATGTTTGTCTATTGTTCTACGTTTAACAGTAGTTGTATATTTGCATAAATAACAATGTGTCAAAAGAAGATTAATAGACAAATATGCGCTCATGGTTAAAAAGAGAAAAAACCGCTTCTTCTTACATTCGTTCTCTGTGTTGTAACCAAGGATTGTGACTTGTTGAATATTAAAATTCACCACGTGATTTCTTACCTCAGGTAACTTTGTGAATACTAGATTCCGTCACGTGACTTGTAAGGTAGCATGTAACTAAGACATTGTGTTCGAACACGTTAAGTCATCTGGCATTGATATTGTAATATATTGTAATATATCACTTTATTTTATACGTAATATTATGCGGTCGTCCAGTTTTCATACTTGTTAAATCTATGTTCATCATGTGCCTGCCAGAAAAGTTGTTCGTTTACGATTTTATTGAAAATAATATGTCAGCTTATCTTGATACGATTGTAGTAATAGCTATTATCATCATATTTTACCTGTTGCTGCTTCATGTAAAGTCGTAGGATTTATAATATCAGGGATAAGAGGGTGGATTTTACATTTCATGTTTTGGTAGCCATCATACTTTACTCGGATCGTCACTTCCGGTTTAGTGACATTTACTATAGTAATCTATGATTCAAGTTATGAATATTGGATCAGATTCTACATTTTAATTTGAGTTGTTGTGTATTTTGAGGCTATAAGTAGTCCTTTATTGTCAGCATTAACTTTATTATCAGTCAGCTTAATCGGAACTACATTTGTTTACGCTATCGTTGGTAGTTACGATATTCATACGCTACATTGTTCAGTATCTATTGTACAGCCTAGGGATGTTTTATAAACATTGAAGGTATTAATTTATTCGTCTAGTCAAGTTTATGTTATGTATTCAATTTCCAGTTGTTATTTTTACGTTGTTATTTTTGTTACGATATTGTACGGCAGCTTGTGTGGCAAAAGTAGTTCTGTGTGGGAACTTGTGTGGGAACTCAGCTTCCCGTACAAGCTGTTGATTGGTTGATAGTTCGTACGGCATATTTTCATTGGATAATTTGTGTCATGTGACAGGGGATAGGAGGTTATATAAGCAAGCGCGTACTACGTTACGAGAGATTTCAACTAGTTGTACGGCGGCAACATTTAAAAAGATAAAGAAGAAAGCTAAGACGGTGAGATACTTATAATGTAAATTACACGTAATTAGCCTAGTTAGAAATCTCCTACCACACTGGACGACCTAAACTTGTGTTTCTGAAGAATCAGCCATGTTTTCTTATGTTGTTATTTGTGTATTGCCACTATTGTTATGATAATGGGATGCTGTACGTACAATAAATGATAAGTATGACTGATCATCATCTTAAGTATTATTCCACCAAGTATCTACAGAGAGAGGAGCCTGGTCTATTTTACATGAGAACAAATTAAATTGGTGCATCCTGGTAAATAGATGATTTATTTAGATGATGAAGCAATGACCTGTATACATGCTGAGGATTCAGAAATACTAGCCACCCCTTGGGTAGCTTACAAACTGGTGTCAGAAGTGGGATACTAAATTTTTTTAGTGTCCTGATACGAGCCCATGAGCCGTCCAGTGTGGTAGTTTAACAACAACATTAAAGTCTTAGAAGATAAGATGACATAGATTTAACAATAGATTCATTACTACTTATTTAAGACGACGAAAAAAAAAGAATTTAAGATGTCAGAATCCGGTGAGTCGGTTGATCACGAAGTCGAGGTGCGCGTGCCTGAGTCGGTTACGTTTGATGATGGTGGTCAAGGTGACACATATGATGAACGTCAGAAGTCGAGCAATGATGAAAGATTTTCTCTCAAAAGAAACGAAGACAATCATGGTCCACCACCAAGCACCTATAGTGGTTTTTCTGGTAGACCTGCCCCTCAGCTGTTTTCAGGCCCTATCCAACCTGTGAATTACATGATGAAGCCAGAGTCCTATGATGGTACTGTAAGCTGGGAAGAGTATATTTCACACTTCAATGACTGTGCAGAACTAAGCCAGTGGACAGAGAGAGATAGAGTACTGTTTCTTGCTGCAAGCTTGAGAGGCCAAGCCAGGACATTTTACATGAGTTTATCTGTGATTGAAAGAAGATCCTTTGACGCCCTTATTAACAAGTTTAGTCAGCGGTTTGGAAATTCCAGACACCAGAACAAATGGTTAGCTAAGCTTGAATCACGCAGACGACAACAGGGTGAGAGTGCTGCTGCTCTAGGTGATGATATCCGACAGATGGTTCAAAAAGCGTACTGTAATTTAGATGAGCAAGCTCAAGAAATCTTAGCTTTAAATCACCTTTACAAGCTGGTAACTGTAGAGATGAAGTGCAGATGTATTGATAAAGATTGTCAGAGCATTTCAGAAGCTGCTGATATAATTGACAGATATGAAGCCATCCTAGGTGAAAACTATGACAAAAAGAAACAACATGCTAGAGCTGTCAAAACAAATGATGAGGAATTTAATGTTCCACAAGTTAACATCTTTTACTGCGTCTAGAAGCAACTCTCCTGATTCATCTTCACTAATTCAAGAAATCAGCAACAGACTGGACCGCCTGGAAAGAGCTAACAAGAAGCTTTCCCCTCAACTCTGTTTCCATTGCAGCTCACCTAAGCATTTTATCAAAGACTGTCCTTATTTGGACAAACAAAGACCTGGGCAGAGAAGAAATCAAGATGAACTAAGGCGACAAAATTACCAACAGGGAAATGGGAGACCATCAGCCTTGTAGGTCGACAGCTGGTGGAGGAGCCAAGACCTAGTTCTGATGACTCTAGGGGGGTGGTTTTAAATAAAGAGAAAAATATCTCAGATAATGGTTTCCATATTACTGGAACATTGGGTGGGGTGGATGTTAATTTTTTACTAGACAGTGGTTCTACTGCATCACTTTTGTCACATGTGGAATTTCTGAAGATTCCGAAGGAGTCGTGTCCTGATCTTCAACCCTCAAACATGGGTGTGCAAGATTTGAATGGTCATACATTGTCGGTCCATGGTATTGGAAGATTTTACATTTATCTAGAAGATGTTCCACATGCAGTTGACTTGTTGGTGGTTGACATGGATCTTACTGCTATACTCGGACAAGACTTCCTCTTGCAGTATTGTCATCACATTAACTACAAAACAAAAACACTTCAGACTGAGAAGACAACTGTTCAATGCTGGATTGCCAATGATCAAACAGCTACAAATGTAGAGGTCAAGAAAACAGTTTCCATACCTGCAAATTGTGGTATCTGGGTTCCAGTAGCTTTGACCAGAAATGGTGACCTCACCGACATAGGCTTCCTAGAGCAACTTAACACCTTCAGTGATGACATACAAGTACTGGATGGTTTGATAGATACCCAGTCTGATCAGATACATGTAAACATTGTAAACTTTGGAGAAGAACCTGTAAAACTTCAAGCCAGAACTACAATTGGTAAATGCAGAAATGCATATTTACTGGATCAGGGTACCATACCACAGAGAGTCTTAGTTCTTAAGGATACCAAGGAAAATACAACTCTTGAAAAAGATTTACCAGAACATCTCCTTGACATGTTTGAAAGAAGTTCCATAAATTTAGACCAAGAACAGAAAGACGCTTTCTTCAAACTACTCCTACAGCACAAAGATGTATTCTCTAAGACACCAGATGATCTTGGCTGCACTGGTATAATAAAACACAAGATAGATACAGAAAATGAAAAGCCTGTCAGACAAGCCCTAAGAAGACAACCTATAGCAAAAAGAGATATTGAAAGAAGAGAAGTTCAGAACATGTTAGAGAAAGGTGTAATTGAACCATCCACCAGTGCCTGGGCATCAAATCTAGTTTTAGTAGCTAAGCAAAATGGAGCCACTAGAGCATGTGTCGACTACAGACAGTTGAATGCGAAAACTGTGAAAGATGCCTATCCATTGCCCCGTATAGATGAATGCCTTGATTCTCTGTCTGGTGCCAAATGGTTTTCAACGATGGACCTCAATTCAGGTTTTTGGCAAATAGAAATGTCTGAAAGGGACAAAGAGAAAACTGCATTTGTAACAACATTAGGACTTTTCCAATTTCGAGTCATGCCATTTGGTCTGGTTAATGCACCATCTACATTTGAGCGACTTATGGAGAATGTACTGAAAGGTCTACAGTGGACTGAATGCTTAGTCTATATGGATGACATAATTTCCTATAGTTCAACTTATGAAGAAGGCCTTCAGCGCTTAGCCAATATTTTTACGAGACTTCAAGAAGCAAATCTAAAACTCAAGCCATCAAAATGTATATTTTTCCAAAAGCAAGTCAAATTCTTAGGTCACATAGTTTCTTCACAGGGTATCCAGACAGATACTGAGAAAATATCTGCTGTCAAAAACTGGCCAATTCCAAAGAATGAAAGACAAATCCGATCATTCCTGGGACTTTGTTCTTACTACAGAAGATTTGTGAAGAATTTTGCAGAGATAGCAAAGCCCCTCCTTGATTTATACAACAACACTGTCAGCTGGGTCAGAAGCTTGAAGAACCCCACTGGTCAAACAGTACGATGGCTTCAAGAGATCGAAACTTATGACCTTACAGTTACTCACCGCCCAGGGCGAAGTCATCAAAATGCAGACGCCTTGTCGAGAAATCCTTGCAAACCATGTCTAAGACAACAACAAAACAAAGATGACAGTGATAATAGTGATGATGAAAAATCCAATGGAAGTGAAGGTCTTGAATCCATGCCAACTATTAGAGTGACAACCAGAAGTAAAGAAATTACCCAATGCCAATTCAGAAACCAAGTAATACTAGAGGGATGGGGGGTGGATGAAATTCAACAGATGCAACTGGAAGACCAATCCATGGGCATGCTTTTATTAGCCTTGACAGATGGTTCTGTAAGACCAAAATGGGATGTCATATCACACAATTCTGAGGCATTCAAAACCTTATGGAGACAATGGGATAGACTTAAAGTCATCAATGGTCTGTTATACAGAGAGTTCCAAGATGTGGATACAAACAAGGTCATATTACAATTAGTTGTACCAAAACAGAAGAGATCAGAGGTTATTCATTACTTTCATGATGTTCCCACAGGAGCCCACCTTGGTGCTGAGAAGACCACGTCCCGCATAAAAAATTCATTTTACTGGCCATCAATGTCAAAAGAAATTGCAAGATATTGTAAAAAATGTGATTTATGTGCTGCTCGTAAATCCAGCCAAAGACAAAACAGAGCACCATTAGGACAGTACATGGTTGGAGAACCAATGGAAAGGATAGCTCTAGATATTTTGGGACCTCTTCCCGAGTCTACAAAAGGTAACAGATACATTCTGGTCATGATTGATTGTTTCACTAAATGGACCGAAGCTATAGCTATCCCAGATCAAGAAGCTGAAACTGTTATTACAACTTTTGTCAATGAAATAGTCTGCCGGTTTGGTACACCTTTACAAGTCCACTCTGATCAAGGAAGAAATTTTGAGTCTAAAGCTTTTAAAGAAATGTGTGAACTTCTCCATATTGACAAAACTAGGACAAGTAGTATGCGACCTCAAGCTAATGGCAGTGTGGAACGCTTCAATCGTACCTTAGCTACTATGTTGACTATGTACTGTGAGCACAACCAGAAAATATGGGACAAGTATCTCCCTCAAGTCATGATGGCATACCGAGCTTCCATACACTCTAGTATCAATACCACACCAAATCTCATGATGTTAGGCAGAAATGTTAATCTTCCCTTAGAAGCAGTTGTTGGCAAACCTCCCAGTCAGACAGATGATGGCATAGAACCAAACGAGTACATAGATGAGCTACAAAGAACTTTGATTGATGTTCATGCCCTGGCCAGGGAACATCTGAAGAAGAGCACAGAATATAATAAACGCCACTATGATCAGAAAGCAAAGAAACAACTGTTAGAAAGAGGTCAACCTGTCTGGTTGTATGATGATACCAGGAAAGTTGGGGTGTGTCCAAAACTAACTTCAAAATGGAAGGGTCCTTACCTCATCACCAAACGAATAGATGATTTGAACTACCTCGTGCAAAGAACACTTCGGAAACCAGCAAAAGTTTATCATGTTGACAGATTAATGCCCTACAAAGGAAAAACCCTCCCTAACTGGTTTAAGAAAATTTTAAATAAAGCATAGAAGTTTCTTCAGATGTTGTTTTGTATTCCTATGTTTCAAGTTACTTTTAAGAAGTCATACTTAGATGTTTATGTAGATGATAGATATGAGATTGGTGCACCATTGAGGTTGGGATAGAGCTGGCCTGATCACCCAGAACTCTTCTCCCAAAGATGTTGATAGAGATGGTTAACAAGTCGTTTATAAGACAGTATTATAGACGTGGACCTACTACCTGGTACACATCACACGTTGAATCCTATAGATGTTTGATGTCTTGTTCTAACCAGTCTCTTAGAGATTTAGATGTAGATGTTAGTGCATGTGGTAGCTAACTTCAGAAGTAGAAGTGTTGATGTTATGATTTCCTATTTAGTTTAAACAACAAAGAAACTCTTTTAGAAGATAAGACGATGTAAGATGACGCATGAACTCCCCTTTAACAACCATTTACTTTGATTTTAGACTATTGTAATGGAGTGCTGGATATGCCACCTGAATTTTCCCTCCAACAGAGACCTCAAGAACCATATGATGCCTACGCATGGAACTATGAGAGTTGTTTGTCCTTGGTGCCCTGACGAAAGAACATATAAAAGAGTCACAGACCTCAGGAGCCACATCAAGTCAACACATCCTCACCAGCTCGCCAAATACCCATCTGACTTGATTTCTGAAAATAATGGTGTGTGGTTCAGCCTGGACCCAGAAGGATATAGTCGCTTGGTCAACGGAACAGAATGGGGGAGTACCTCTGCCACCCATGCTAGAGTTTTAGTCTTGGAATGGCTTTCCACCACAAGAAGAACAACCAGAAAGAAGGATGAGTGGCAGAGAGGATGGGACAAGTTAAAGATCACACACACACAGGCCCCAACCCCAGAAGCTCTATTTCAACCTGACTATGATGAAGAAGCCCTAGACATACATGTACCAACTATATGCTACACGCCCTCTGCCCCTGAGATAGAAGAGATGGAGATACTACACGTCTCCCTGATGTTGGGGAAAATTTGCTTGTTTATAGGCCAGGGCAGACAGATCTTTAAGATGAATATAAGAGATGTCATCCTCACAGACGCTAAGGGAGTAGCCAGTCTCTCAAGGAAAATGTCGGTACAGAAGAGGAATGAAGCCCCTCAGGTTGACCAGACTAAGATGGTGCAATTAAGTTCACCTACCTTCCAGTCCAGATTATTGAAATTTGCTGGCCTTGACAAGAACTACCTTGACATGATATATACAACGATAGAGGCAGATGACAACAGTCCTCCCGCAAAGAAAATCAGATGTTCAAGCCCAACCCCTGCTCTCACTGCACCAGCCATAGCAGAAACTCCATCTGAGCCAGCCTCGCAGTCAGTGAAAGAATCTTCTTCTAGTAATAAACCCAGAGCAAGTATGTCAGAAAGGGCCCTCAACCTCCTAAAACGTGGATGTTTGCCATTATTTCCTCCAGCAAGAAGGGACTGGGGCACAGAACAGATTACGCTGAAGTTGAAAGATCTCAGTATTTTATGGCCTCCAAAGGACTGGCAGGGGATGTCACCTGATAGAAAGCTTTTATCTTGGGAATTCACATCCATGACCATTCAACAGAAGATGGACCCAACAAGAAGTTCCAGTATCGAACGTGTGGACCTACTAGATAAGTTCAATTTCCTCGCACTTCCGGGCACAGTAGAGAAGATTGGGAAAAAGGAGGAACAAATTGTTCGAAAGGCTCGGTACTACATGTATGAACAACTTAAGACAATAGTTAGTGAAGACAATGGGGATTCGACCTGGGTAAAGATGCTTGAGAGATCTTGTGCTCTTAGGGACCGCTCCACTGATGACCTTCTTGCCATTATAGACTCTAAGAACATTCCCATCAGACTGTAAATCTGTAAAGACTGTTAAAGCTATGTTGAGTGATGAAAATTTCAAATTCAGGAGAATTTTATAATTAAGTTGTGGGGAGTGTAATATATTGTAATATATCACTTTATTTTATACGTAATATTATGCGGTCGTCCAGTTTTCATACTTGTTAAATCTATGTTCATCATGTGCCTGCCAGAAAAGTTGTTCGTTTACGATTTTATTGAAAATAATATGTCAGCTTATCTTGATACGATTATAGTAATAGCTATTATCATCATATTTTACCTGTTGCTGCTTCATGTAAAGTCGTAGGATTTATAATATCAGGGATAAGAGGGTGGATTTTACATTTCATGTTTTGGTAGCCATCATACTTTACTCGGATCGTCACTTCCGGTTTAGTGACATTTACTATAGTAATCTATGATTCAAGTTATGAATATTGGATCAGATTCTACATTTTAATTTGAGTTGTTGTGTATTTTGAGGCTATAAGTAGTCCTTTATTGTCAGCATTAACTTTATTATCAGTCAGCTTAATCGGAACTACATTTGTTTACGCTATCGTTGGTAGTTACGATATTCATACGCTACATTGTTCAGTATCTATTGTACAGCCTAGGGATGTTTTATAAACATTGAAGGTATTAATTTATTCGTCTAGTCAAGTTTATGTTATGTATTCAGTTTCCAGTTGTTATTTTTACGTTGTTATTTTTGTTACGATATTGTACGGCAGCTTGTGTGGCAAAAGTAGTTCTGTGTGGGAACTTGTGTGGGAAGTCAGCTTCCCGTACAAGCTGTTGATTGGTTGATAGTTCGTACGGCATATTTTCATTGGATAATTTGTGTCATGTGACAGGGGATAGGAGGTTATATAAGCAAGCGCGTACTACGTTACGAGAGATTTCAACTAGTTGTACGGCGGCAACATTTAAAAAGATAAAGAAGAAAGCTAAGACGGTGAGATACTTATAATGTAAATTACACGTAATTAGCCTAGTTAGAAATCTCCTACCACACTGGACGACCTAAACTTGTGTTTCTGAAGAATCAGCCATGTTTTCTTATGTTGTTATTTGTGTATTGCCACTATTGTTATGATAATGGGATGCTGTACGTACAATAAATGATAAGTATGACTGATCATCATCTTAAGTATTATTCCACCAAGTATCTACAGAGAGAGGAGCCTGGTCTATTTTACATGAGAACAAATTAAATTGGTGCATCCTGGTAAATAGATGATTTATTTAGATGATGAAGCAATGACCTGTATACATGCTGAGGATTCAGAAATACTAGCCACCCCTTGGGTAGCTTACAATATAAAATCTGCTTTAATCACATTAACGTGCTCATATTGTTAATTTCGTTTTGAAACTTTTGTCAGAAGTGTATTTGTGCCATACAGAATGGAGAGGGAGATTGGAAAGAGTGATCACGTTCTTTTTTCCAAACATGTCATTGTTATTTATCAAGTCTAATTTCAGACCAATTCTTACAATGTTAGCTCCACCTCTCTTGCATATCTAATGTTCAGTCAAGGGCAGGTAAGTGTAAATTCACTATATTTGGAAAGCAGTAAGGACAAAAAACATTGAATCATTTTATTGTATCACAGTCTAAAATCATTTTAAGATTTAAATTTGGTTCCAAATTGACAGGATTCTTTCATAAACATACAAAAGTGAAATAAGGTTTAGATATAAAAGCAACAGAAGCAACCGAAAAGGACCCAAAAACAGGCGTGTAGTGCAGTCATCCTTTTATCAATGTGTAAACTCTTGACATTTTACTCACAAACTTAACATAAAAGTGCTTCTCACTTTTATTTAGTTTGTGAGTAAAATGTCAAGAGTTTACACATCGATAAAATTTTCAAAAAGAACGTTTAATTCTTATAATTCCAATTACGAAGTTTTAAAATTTCTTTGAACCCTCTTACTGCCAGAACAGCAGTTGATACGCCAGAACTTTTGGTTACAAGTATCAGAATGTATTGAATATTCTTTTAATGATAAGCAACATCCCAAAGATAATTTTTATTGTAATGATTTTACTAATTTTCAAATAACGAACACAGGGACATTTCATATTCGTTAATGACGTCAGCTCCCTTGCTAGTATTACGTCACAGTCATTAAAAAATCCGCGTAATTTGGCAAAGGTAAAATTTCATAATGTAAATGAGTATGAAAAATATGAAAGTTTTTAACATAACAAGGAACAGATTGTTTTTTTTTTTTTTTTACTTTTACGCTGTTCAAAATTACTACTTATAAATGTCTAATTCAGAGGAAAGAATGAGTAGTAAAAATAAAAAGTGTATTAATTATAAATTCAACACTATTTTATGGAAACCTTTTGCTAAGGAAACGTTATCTAAGTAAGCCCCAGTCTTCACCTAGAAAAGAGGTTTTTAGACTAAATAAATGCATGTTTTCTTTACAATCTATACGATGTGGGATACAAAAAATATTAAGCTAACTCTTACGTTTATTACCATTACTCAGGCGCGGATCTAGAATTTTTTCAAGGGGGGTGAGGAGTAAATAAGTAAATAAGAGCTGTTATACCGTACCTTCACATAGTTAAACGACAACTTAATATATATACTCAGGCTAGTAGCAACGGTTTCAAAAGTGGAGGGAGGTCAAAATATTTGACCCCCCAAAACACCTAATTAACTGTCCAAATCCTAGAATATGCCAGTTCTCCACCTTACAGCGACAGAAGGGGGGGGGGGGGGCAACCAGCATTTGAAAGGAAATTTACTATAGAATAATACTACACTCCGAAAAAAGTGCTCCCCTCCCCTCTGCGTTCTATGGGTCTGATACTATCAATTAATAAGAACACTTTTTATAATAAAGAAACTGATTAGATATATGTAAAATTAAAATAAAACTGAAATACTAAATACTAATACTAAATTTCATTTTTAAGTGTAAATGAGTCCACCTTTAAAAGCCCAGTATTTTATCTAGTAGATCGATCAGTTTTAGAAAGAGTGTGTGAGAAAATTCTAAATTTGTGTTATTGTAAGTAAATATCTACCTCGCTACCACATCCTATTTTGTGATTATTTGAATCTAGTAGTTCTTCAAAGGGAAAAAAAGGAAAAAAGCCGAAAATAAAAACAAACAATACAA